GCGACCGGGGCGGCGGCGAAGACTCCGACCAAGCCATCGGCCCCCGCGGCGCCCAAGACCCCGGCCAAGCCCGCGCCCTCGGCCGCGGCGACGGCGGCGAAGACTCCCGCAAGGCCCCCGTCCTCGGCGGCGGCGACGGCGAAGACCCCGGCCAGGTCCGTCTCCCGCGCGCGGTTCGCGCACGCCTCCGAGAACTCCGACCCCAACATCCTCGCCTCCCCTCCCCGGACCACGTCCAAGACCCCCGCCAAGCCCGCCGCCGCCGCCACCTTCTCCGCCTCCGTCAGGAAGAAGCGTGCCACGCCCGCCCCGCCGCCGCCGGTCCCGCAGCGCCGCTTCCTCGTGGCGAAGAAGGGAGCGCATCGGCGGAGGCAAGCCGGCGCGAGCGGAGGAGGCGGCCAGTTCGACTTCGACAAGTGCCGCGAGGCCGCCCGCGAGGCGCTGCGCGCGTCGCACGAGGAGTTCTTCCTCAAGGAGCGCGCGGTGTCCGCGGCCAGCGAGGAGCAGGAGTCGCAGAAGGAGGAGGAAGCGGCCGAAGATGACGCAAACAGTGCCGCTGTTGTCGAGGAGGGGGAGGGAGCGGAGGTGGCGGATTTGGAGGGGAGCGGCAAAGTTAGAGCGATTCGGAGCAGAGTCATGGCCAAGGCGATGAACAGCGTGCCAGATGCTGGGGCGGGCCGTGTCAAGCACCTGGTGCATGCCTTCGAGAGCCTGCTCTCCATCTCCGGGGCCACTGCTGACTCCGAACGGGCAGGCGAGGAGGCCTGGGCGCTGCCTGGATTGCAGCCATGGAACGAGGGGAGTGAGGGCTCGCCGGTGGCAGTGTTCTCCTCGTCCGATTTCATGAGCATGGGACCAACCAGACTTTGCAGTTCACTCGATGGCAAGAGCAACAGGTTAGCTGATACCAGCAAACAAACGAGAGAAGTAATTGCACCTAGGTTGTTGCTGATCAAAGTTTGTTCCTCTTTTTAGATCTAGCTGGGACAGCCAGACCGGAGGACGCAGGAGCCGGCGGAACGTGAGGATGCGATAGCCCTTTTTGCTGCTCTACTACTGTTGACCATGTTTGTTCTGTACTCTCTGAATTCAGTGTCTATTTGCTCTTTGATCTGGCAGTCATCCGAATCACTAAGGAGCAGCTGGAATAAAAAGCTCAAGGTCACTAGCCAGCATCCCTTCAAGCTGAGAACAGAGGTGAATAACAAAATCTTTGGCTATGGTTGTGTTTGTTAGTGGGCAAAGTCAGTAGTAGCAGATTCAGCATTCAGCAGGCAGCAGTCAAAATGACCTACTATATTGCTATATTGTCTGATGCGCATATCGTTTTTATAACAGCAAAGGGGAAGAGCTAAAGAACAACAGTTTATTCAGAAAGTCCAGGAAATGCTAATTGAGGATGAGAAGAAGCGCATACATATTGCTCAAGGACTTCCGTGGACAACAGATGAGCCTGAGGTTTGTCATTATATACAGCCTAATTTTCTATAACACAGCCTTGCACTTGCATTTTGTATGGTATAACATACTAGTTCTTGGAGTTGAATAGCAAAAATGACATAATGTCAAAACTGATATATGACACATTCGAAGAATGCTGATTTCCTTTGGAACATAACAATGAATAAAATTGATTAGCGACATATATTCGTTTGGTTCAGTATACCATGGAAGGAAGATAAATGTGTGCTACTTCCAGATTGAAGCTTGTTGTTTGAGCATGCTGTGACTGTTCTTATGACAACATACTAATTCCTGGAGTTGAATAGCAAAAATGACATGATGTTAAAATTAATACTCCTGGAGTATAACATATTTGAAGAATGCTTATTTTCTTTGGAATATAGATGATTAGGAAGATAAATAACAACATACTAGTTCTTGGAGATGAATAGCAAAAATGACATATTGTCAAAATTATATATAACATATTTGAAGAATGCTGATTTTCTTTGGAATATAATTGACGAGGAAGATAAATGTGTGTTACTTCCAAATCGAAGCTTGTTGTTTGTGCATGCTGTGACTGTTCTTATGGCATCGTACTAGTTCTTGGAGTTGAATATAAAATATGACATAATGTCAAAATTATATAAAATATTTGAAGAATGCTGACTTCCTTTGGTGCATGCTGATAACTATCAGGTTGTTCTCCTGATTGTTATTGAATTTATTTTCATAACTTTTGTACCTGGTTCTCTTGGGAATCACTATGATGGTTGATAAGTTTTCAGTTAACAAGTGTATTGTTTTAACTTTGAACCTCTATTTTCACTAGTGCTTGATTAAGCCACCAGTCAAGGAAAGAACAGAGCCAGTCGACCTTGTTCTACATAGTGATGTGCGCGCAGTTGAACGTGCTGAATTTGATCAATATGTAAGCCTCCTTACAAGTTCACTGTACATTGTACATCGCACATGGTTTGAACTTTGAAGTCTTATTTCAGTGGTACCAGTGTGAGCCTTTTACACTCTATTAACTATGCCTGTTTGAGATTTAGGTGTCAGAGAAGACCAAGTTCGGTGAGGAATTAAGATTGGAGCGGGAACGTCAACAAAAGTTAGAGGAGGAAGAAATGATAAGACAGCTGAGGAAAGAGCTTGTTCCTAAAGCACAGCCAATGCCGTATTTTGATCGGCCATTCATCCCCAAAAAGTGAACACCTGTTCTTTAATGAAACTTGTATAGATGATATTTCAATTTCACTAATTGTTGCAATAATGATCCGATATTACCTTTCACTAGTTGTCCCTTTACAAGTAACTAACATTTCTTTCTGTCGTGCTTTTTTAAGGTCATCAAAGACAATAACAATTCCGAAGGAGCCAAACTTTCATCTCCGGCCTGAAAGGTTATCATGGTGAGTTTTTACAGTTCAAGACTGCATGAACAAACACTATAATTTGTGGCAGTTGACTGCCAATGGATTCATCTTTACAGTTCAAGAGTGACTGAACAAACACTATAATTTTTAACAATTAAACAACCAATGAATTCATCTTTCACCATGGGTTATGATTGAAAACAATGCATGTTGTGTCATGTTATTCTCTATTCTCTATACAAAGCATGCTCACCATGCTGGGTTATGTGAATTATGGCTGACAGTTACTATCGACAGCGATGCATGGTCACTGGAAAGCTGAAGACATGGCCCCGCAAGCAACATGAATGTCAGCTGCATCTAGCAAGAGCCGCAGAGCAGCATCATCAACACGCATGATTTAGATGCTCCTCATTCTTTCAAGTGCCTAGCTTCTTCTTAACGTCTCCATGCGCAACGAGACTCGGTCTTTGTGGCTTGGGTGATCTCCAACTTCTGTTCTGTGTACATGCGTTTATGCATATCGATAGCTCTGTGCTTCAGATGCATCCTCCACCTCCAGGGTTAAAACAGCTTGTTGTACAAGAGACCGCAGATGGGAAATTCAAGGATGAATTTCTGTGGTCTTGTATTCCTAAGTTGATTGCCAAAAACCCCGAAATACCAATGTGTTGATATATATGTGGATTTTGAAAAAAAATCTCTATTTTCTACTCCCTCCGTCCCATAATATAAGAACATTTTTTACACTAGTAGCTCTTGCTGAATTTACTGTCAGTAATGTCTGAACTGAAAATAGTTCTGTGGCAAACTGAAGTGCGTATGGAATGGAATATGGATCAAGCTTGTCATGTGGCTTACAGTAACTGTTATGCTAAAGGAACACCGAATCCCTTAGAAACTGAGATGGGATGACATTTATAGAGCTTCACGCTGAAGTTAATAATTAGTCAGAAAACTCTTCGATTGCATCAACTATGTGTGCGTATCATCTTGCAAATGGTCATTTTACGAAGTTCTGAAACCAAGCCAGAGTGGGAAATGTGACTTCTCTCTCCGCGGGACTGAGACGAGTGCTCAACGAGATTCTTTTTTTGTTGCAAAAAAAACGAGATTCTTTTTTTTAAGGCAGAGAAAATCGCTTTAAACACAACGAAAAATACATTTATTTTTTCTGGGTCAGATTCGGCCCAAACCAAGTCTCTGGGCTAGAATGCAAAATGCTTGTGCTGTGAACATTTCAGTGGCAACCCACGAAGACCCAGTAATCCCACACCCAACCACTTTCTTAGAAACAAGCGCATTCCCTCACCGACATGTGGGTCCTCCGCAAGCCAAGCTACGGGCACCCAGCGCTTCTCCCCCACTTGGCAGGCTCCCTCCACGCCACTTCTCTATTTCTCCCCCCATCTCTTCCTCCTCCCCGATCCATCCGACCGCAACAAACCCTAGCACCGCCAGATCTCCACCTCCGCCGCCGCCGGAGAGGCCACCCAACAGATCTCCCCGATGGCGTTCCGCCGACTCCTCTCGGCCGCAGTGCGCCGCCGCTCCGCCGCGGCGGCGGCGGCGGCCGGGAACGCGCGCGAGGCCTCCACGGCTGTCGCCGCGGGCCCCGGCGCCATCGCCCCCGACGCGCCCGCCGTCCACGCCCCGGTGATGGCGTACGACCGGATCGCCGACGCTGTCAACGCGCGCGTCCGCCGCCTCGAGCACCCGGACCCCCGCTTCCTCCGCTACGCCAACCCCGTCCCCGCGCACGTCGACCACACCGCCATCCTCGAGGCGCCGGAGACCAAGGTCACCACGCTCGACAACGGCCTGCGCGTCGCCACCGAGTCCTCTCTCTCCTCGCGCACGGCCACCGTTGGTGTCTGGATCGACGCCGGGAGCAGGTACGAGACGGAGGAGGCGGCCGGGGTCGCCCATTTCGTGGAGCACATGCTGTTCAAGGGCACGGGGACGCGCAGCGCCGGGCAGCTCGAGCAGGAGATCGAGGACATGGGCGGCCACCTCAACGCCTACACCTCGCGGGAGCAGACCACCTACTACGCCAAGGTGCTCGACAAGGACGTGCCACGTGCCATGAATGTTCTCGCGGACATTTTGCAGGACTCTAAGCTCGAGGACAACCGCATTGAACGCGAGCGCAGTGTCATTCTCCGAGAGATGGAGGAGGTTAGTTTCCTGATGCGTATATGTTTGCTTGAGTTAATCACTCCTTTCCACTGCAATAAGGATCTGTTTAGGTGATTTGACGGACAATTTCTTAAACTACCTTAGGTTGATTGCATCATGCCTTCTCTAGTGTTTATTAATATGCATTTCTTGTTTATTGTGATGTTTTTAACCAATCCATATAGAATTCTCTGAGATGGTAAGGACTAACTTACAGAGACTTGATTTCTTAGTGTTAGGAATTGTTATGAACTGCTATATGTAAGACGACAGCTGTAAAATGGGCATTTGCTATCAAACTAGTTGGAACGAATACAGATATCAATTTAAGAAAAGAAAAACATGTAACGGTTTGCATTTTTTTTGAACTTACATTTGCCCAATAGGTCCTCACAGAAAATAAGAACTGATCAAAGGCCTAATTTCTTAGTATGTGACATTGTTCTAATTGTATCAAGCTGCTTTAGACTTAGATCTTAGAAGGGAAGGCAACATTGGCATTTGATATCAAACTGTCCCAAATCAATCTGGTTAGGAGTTCGGAGCAAAAATGAATATTGTATGCCTGTGAAAAAAATCTTATGAATTTGCTGAGAAGATTATTCAAGTAGAGTAGAATGTTGCACGACCATAATGAGTTTAAATCATGGTTTTCGAGTCGCGACTCATGCGAGTCGCTCTGGGGCAGCGACTCGGAAGAAGTCGAGCCTGCGTTGTGACTAGTCGCGACTCTCGAGTCGACACTAAGCTGAGTCGACCATATTTTTCTGACTAATAGACTAGTCGTCGACTAGTCGTGACTAGTCGAGCGACTCAAAATCCATGGTTTAAATGGACCAACCTGCAAGGTTAATCATGCATCCAATAGATGCTTCTCTCAGAAAGAAAAAAGTACTCCCTTTGTCACATAATATAAGAACGTTTTTCAAGTTTTGTTAGTTTTGAAAAATGTTCTTATATTATGGGACGGAGGGAGTACCTAATATGGATGGAAATAACTTAACTCAATCTTTGGGTTTTATGAGCATACAAGTTTCATGTTCGGCTCTATTATTTACAGACTTCATTTTGGATTCAGTAAGTTGTTATTAGTCGTGTCAAGCTGCAACCCGGACGTGCAACATTTCTGAGATGCTACTACTATATGTCTTGCTGTGTTTTCTTGAGCTCACTTTTTTTTTCTGACTCTCCTATGTTATGTAGGTTCAGGGACAGTCGGAGGAAGTTATATTCGATCATCTCCATGCAACTGCATTCCAGTATACTTCTCTTGGCAGGCCAATCTTGGGTTCTGCTGATAATGTCAAGTCTATCACCAAAAAGAATCTCATAGACTACATTCAAAAGCATTACACGGCTTCTAGAATGGTACTTGAGATTAAAAATTATGTGTCCGTAATACATTTGGATATCTATCATTTTGTCGTATTGCTATTACCTCAGTAGGGTGGAGTATCTCCTAGTCGTAAATAACATGTGTTTTTGTGTGTTTTCAGGTCATTACTGCTGCTGGTGCTGTTAAGCATGATGATATTGTACAACAGGCAAAAGAGCTGTTCAAATCGCTGCCAACTGACCCTACAACAACTAACATGTTGGTTGCTGAGCAGCCAGCCATTTTTACTGGTTCTGAGGTATGTACTTTACTGTAAGTTTACCTGTGCTGTTCAAATCATTGATTATTTTATGCTACTCAATAGGTACGAATCATTGATGATGACATGCCCCTTGCCCAATTTGCTGTTGCCTTCAATGGAGCATCCTGGACAGATCCTGATTCTATTGCATTAATGGTTATGCAAACTATGCTTGGTTCGTGGAACAAGAGTGCTGGAGGAGGGAAGCACATGGGGTGGGTTCCTTACCTATTATACACCCTTTCATCTTGTCATTTCCTTGTGTATAACCAAGTTCCTTTGTCGAAATGACTTAAAAAACAATCCACTGATCATATTTCACTTTGTTCTCCTGATACGTTGATACAGTTCGGAGCTTGTACAGAGAGTAGCAATCAATGACATAGCTGAGAGTATAATGGCATTCAATACAAACTATAAGGACACTGGCCTGTTTGGTGTCTATGCTGTTGCTAAGGTGAGTCGGATATTTTTTTGTTTTGTATCAAAGGTTGAAGAAAGTACTTCTTTCTGTATGCGTTGTAGGCTGATTGCTTGGATCTGTAACAGCCATTATGTGTGAACATGTTATGGTGGTTTAAAATGATGTGCTCTTCATGTTCTTTGCCTGATGATGTTCCTTGACCTTGTTTTGTAGGCTGATTGCTTGGATGATTTGGCTTTTGCAATTATGCAAGAGATGAGCAAATTATCATACAGGGTTACTGAAGAGGATGTTATTCGTGCACGCAATCAGGTATTTCTTTCAATGTCAGTTCAATGTGTAGTAGTGTTTCCTATGGATTATTGAGGCTGAATAGTATGAAGCATATTGTTTCTTTTGTGTACTTGTTAGGAATCATGTTCTCTGGTTCTGATATTCTGTTGCTGGATAATTGTTGCATTGGAACATATGTATCTGCCATTGAACTTCTGTTTATTTTCCTGACGTTGTCATTTCTTTGACTTGCTTTCAGTTGAAATCCTCCATCCAACTCCACCTTGATGGCTCCACTGCTGTTGTTGAGGATATTGGACGCCAGGTATATGGACGCTATTATGTAGTGCCACATGATATTCTCGATACGCACCCCCTGGAACTTATCTTTCTTCTGTTTTGTCAGCAACTCATCTATGGCCGTAGAATTCCCATTCCTGAGCTTTTTGCTAGAATAGATGCAGTTGATCCCAGCACTATTAGGCGTGTTGCAAACCGCTTCATCTTTGACCAGGTAATTGCTGTTTTGCCAACTTGCCTTGTTTTTATGTACTAGAATTTGGATGTTCCATGGCACCAGGTAATGCCAGAAAGTGTGGTGGAAAACTAGAAGTTGCTAAAGTTTTGGTCACTTTTAGATTACGTCCTGCCTATGAGGTGCCTGCCAATTGCTACTGATTGACCTCTACTGATAAGATTACTGTGTCCTTTTATTGGAATATGAATAATAAGGTCCATTGATATCTGGGTGATATGCTTTTGTTTGTTGTGAATAATATAGCTTGCTGTACTCCCTCCGTCCGAAAATACTTGTTATCAAAATGGACAAAAAGGGATGTATCTAGAACTAAAATACATCTAGATACATCCCCTTTTATTCATTTTGA